TAATTTGGTCTATTATATTCTGCCATTTAATTGCCTAGTACAGACATTCTCTGACACGTTATGAAGCAATGATTTACAATTATTCAAGCTGCAAAGGTCAGAAAGTGACATTATAATCATCTACATAGAGATCCCTCTAATGCACAAAAACTAGGTAATCACACACACACACACACATACACATACCAGTTTAACTGCATTAATAACTTTCTATTTAAGGTTTCCTAAATCAACTAGAAATAAACATTTCCTAAGAATACTATGCACAATTTAATTTTTTCTGAAATCTTCTCAAAACTCAGAGATGAAATATTTGGAAAATGCTCTTATTCTCTCCTGATTAGCTAAATCACATTTAACTATATAACTAACTCCATATACATCAATCAAGACTTGACACAAGGAAATCTACCAATAAATAACATAGTTACTAATTTACATATACTGGATTTATGCCTCTTAAAAAATGACATACAAAAGGTATCACCATCTCCTAGGTTTATGGAGACCATGGGAGTACTTTAAGTTTTCTGTAAATCTTTATAAGTAGTACTGAAATATAACAAGAACCTAACTTGATCAGTTTTAGCTCATCACCACTTCTAAGCACTTTCTTTTCCCTATTACACAGTCATGGGCAACCACATGGATGTACAATAAATTATCAACAGATGAAGGACAGCAGGGGAAAACGGTAACATCATTTACAGTAAGAATAAAACAAAGAAACGAGGAAGGGTTTGAATACAAGAATATGAAAGTAAGACTGGATAAGCATCTCTTATCACACTGTAAATTTTAACAACAATAGAAAGTAAGTGTGGCTAGCGGGAGGAAGTAGATGTTATGCTATTCCATGCTACAGAAAACAACCTAGATAAAAAACAATGAGACACATACAACAAAGAGCAGGAAAATAATAAGCAGAGAGGGATAATTAGAAGGACGAGCAACCATGGGCCAGGAGGGTCGGCTGCAGAATTTAAGTGTGCCACTGTGTCACTTGTATCAGCCATCTCCCATTTATAAACGGGGATAGCAAACATAAACTAAATAATAAAAGTCATCAAAATCAGCAAGCAAAACCAATGTAAAATGCAGCATTTACCACCAAGCACTGCACAAATACTAACATTCAGAATACAATGCACATTGAATAACTAATTTTATGTGTGGTGTAGAGTGCTGAGAATTGATCTTGGGCCTTGTACATGTTAGACAAGAGTTCTACCACTAAGCTATACCTCCAAACACCACAGTCAGAATTATTAAAAAATTAGCAAAATGTGTAAAACTACTTTGGGGAGTTGAGATCTTTCACATTTGTAACTAAAAGAGAGAGAGAGAAACAGAGGATCATGAATTTAACAAAAAGATGTGTCTGACCTATTTTTTACCCAAGAAGTAGCTAAGTAAAGCTACCAGCTTTGGAGCAGGGCAGCTCCGGTGTTTGCTTTTACCACTCTCAGCACTGGCACACAGCAGCTGACCTCCATGTTAATTATGCAGCAAGAGCAGAGACTCTACAACTCTTCTAATCATACTTAGATGTATGTATAGCAAGAACACTATAAAGAAGATGTACTAGAGCAAGAGATACGGTTCTGGGATGAAAGAGCACTGGCTGCTCTTGCAGAGGACCTGGATTTGATTCCCATCACCCACATGGTGATTTCCAATCATCCATAACTCCAGTTCCAGGAGATCTTCAGCCCTCTTCTAACCTCACAGGCACCAGGGACCAAGAATGCATGTGTTGTACAGACACACGTGCAGGCAAAACACTTGTATACATAAAATAAAATAAGTATTTTTTAAATACAGCAGCGATACAAGTCAACAAACAAAACTCTGTTCTCCTGGAACTAAGAGTAAACAAACAGGTTTACTCTCTATGTGTTTTAAAACATGAACTGTGCAGCAATGTGTTCATAACATGAGTAGATCAATCTTGCCTATGCAGAATGTCAACCCTAAGTCAAAGCCAGACAATGGGAACTAGACTTTCAACTCACTCAGCTTCTCCTGCCAAGGTAATGTAAACTCTGCAACACTGGCAAACATCTTCCAATAGGAAATAAGGAAGAAAATACCTTCAAGTTACTGATCTTGAAGATTTAAAAAAAAAAATTAACATAAGTCCAGATGCAACAATTTTAAAGGCAGTTGTTACATGAAAGTTGACGTGTCAGAATTCTAACCCTGCATCTTAGTGGACACTCTAAAACACAGATCTCATCGATCTACAGTCTACCTACATAAAGACAGTGCAAGCAACCTGCTACAGTAACATCAATAGAACATACCATTTCCACAAATTTTACCATAAGAAAATTAAAGGCTACCGAAAAACTAAGTTCAGTTTCATTATTTCAAAAAAAGGAACCTACATCAATGTTTTACACGTTATTCAACAGGACTATTTGATAAATAACTACTTATAGCCAGATAAGGAAGAGGTCGTTAATAAAATTCCAAAAGACTGAGACGAGGATATTAACTACTGAAGAAAAGAAAACAGTACAGGACCTTCTGTTTGTGACAAAATTATAGAATTAATGTTCCTGAAAGATCACTTTACCTTTTAAAGCATGATTTTGTAAAAGGTAAAATTTATAGCAATTAAAGCTAATGAAGAAATGCAGCATAGCCTGCTTATGTTCAGGAACTAATGGGTCCACTGAGCATTTGTGAGATTATTTAGCCATCAGGGATAATGAATTGACACTGTCAGCAATGTTAATGTACCAATATTCTCCAGTGTCAGTAGAACCAGTCCCTGCTTTTTTGCTTTGCTTTCCATTTAAACTTTTATGTTATTCTCCTATACCTAACACATGAAACAAAGATACACCCATGCCTAACACATGAAACACAGAACCAAGGATACCCCCATACCTGGCATATGAAACAAAGATATACCCATGCCTAAAACATGAAACACAGAACCAAGGATACCCCATACCTAACACACAAAACACAGAAACCACCAAAGATATCTCATACCTAACACATGAAACACAGAACCAAAGATACCCCTTCCTGAACATGAATTCCTAGTTCATTACTGTTCTACTCAACCTCACTAATCAATCCTCCTAGACTCACTGACTTTCTTCACAGCTTCTGGCTTCACTTTAAGGCTATCTACTCCGCTAAAATTACTGTGTAGGACTTTTAAACTGAACTTATTTTTAGAAAGAAAGAGAACTATAATTCCACAGGGGATGAAGTCTAAAGGCTTCCCTAATTTTCAAAGTTAAACACTTAAATCTAAAATGCTTTATCCACATACCCTACACACACACACACACACACACACACACACACACACACTCACACCAATGTGGCTCTCTGTGGCAAACCTAAGATTAAAAACATTCATATTTACTTACATTCTATATATTGCTGATCAAACTGATAAACTACTAATGCAACGTTTCCTCTATCTTCAGTAAGGAATCAGCTAAGGAAAGATACAGTGTTCAAATTATACATTTAGAGCCAATGAATTATAAATTGTTTCTGATGCTATGTAAAACAGGATTCTTTGAAAACGTTGTTTTTTTCTTTCCAATATCTGAGTACCCTAAATTTTAAAACTGGATAAAAAGTATATTTCAACTAACCAAATATGCAATAAACTACTTATTTTTCACAATCAGGAAAGAAACTGCTTATGCTTCCAAATAACACATTTTCACTGGAGTCAGGATCATCTCCTATAACTCAGAGAATAAAAACAGGAAATGAGATGTCTTTTAAAATCACAAGACCTATAGGAATTAAAATGAACCACTTGGGACTTGACCCCGGCAGTGAAACTCAGCAGTAACAAAACTCATTCTCCAACTGATCATGAGTGGCTTCCGGGCAAAGGTTCATCTTCATTTACTTTAGCTGCAAGTCACTGAACCATCAATTTGGCCAGCGAATAAATCACACACCACAGTTGATAAAATTGCTTGCAAAGTTATTTGTAAAACTATCTTAAGGGTCAAAAAACGAAATCGTATCCTGGGAAAATGTATTGTCCAATAAAAAGCAGAACTGCCCCTAAAAGATGTTTCCATGTTTAATGTTTACACGCTCATGTCAACCTGGGGAGCCTTCTCCATAAGCAAAATATATGCATGTTGCATAATTTAACTGAACCTATGAATTGCAGATTTCTTAAGTTTCAAATAAAGTATTTTATATGATGTACTTATTAGTTAAGTTCTCTAGCATAATAACATTAAAATATATTTTAATAAGTAGAGTCTTAAAATCCACCTCTGAATGTCCTATGATACACCATATATGTCATAGCACTTAAAAAACCTTTTAAACATTCCTGCTAAATTAATTAGCTTTACATTAAGGTCCCTCAGTGCTTTCTATGAAATGTAACATACCTGAGTGACAATTAAACACTATGAATGACTCTACAAAGAACCATGAATTGCAAAAGGAAACTAGTTTTAATCACATGACACAAAAGTACATTACACACTATTTTTTTTTCCACATCATCCCTCAAGTGATTGGTAACCAGGCATCTGAAATTAAATCTTTTGTTTTTCCTTACAGAATATGTCTAATTGATCCAAAGAGCCATTAATGTGATTAAAATTAAGGCAGTATAGCAGAAGAAAAAAAAAACATACATATGCACTCCTAAAGCTATATTATCTGGGGCGAGGTGGGGGGGTTGTCTTTAAATGGAATTTATAGTTCTCTCTGGCAATGTGAATGAACATCCTATAATTTAGTCAATTTACAGATTACAGGTTCAAATTGACCTTGTAGCCCATAAAATTGCTCATCTCCAGCACAGGATTAGAAGTAGGAGAAGAGTGTCATAACTGTACTTAAGGAATTTACCATAACAAAGGAAAGGAGGGAACGCGCGCATCATTTTCGCCACTCTTACTCATATCAGTTCTGAATTCTCAAACAATAGACACCCCGCACACAGCTCCCGGTTCCCACAGCAGAGGTGGCTTCAATCTACTCACCCACAGACGTGACACTTGTACTCCCTCATCCCAAGGTGCCTTTTCACATGGTTTCTGGCATCTCCGAGCTGAGCTGTGGCAAAATGGCATATCTTGCACTTGAATGGTTTTGATCCTGAGTAAATTTAACATAAAATAAGATTTAGACTTGAATAACACATTACTAACAGGCTTTTAATTGGGGAGAGTAAACTAAATCTTAAGTTTCAATCTGATAAAGAATTTCATCCCCAAAACATAATGTATGCATTCATTTATAACTTTCGGGATCCCATAATTATTTCACCTAGGTTTTATGTGACTATTTATGTGGCTATGTTTTAGTGACTATTGCCAATTCTCAATAACGTTTCTAAGATTCAAAGTCAAACACTTCATGCCACTAAGCAGCTTAAATGAGCTGAGTAACATTACACATTTTTCATACAACTGACAAAAATACTTCTTTAAGGTATTCTATTTTAAAACGGAATCATTAAAAACACAAATACAAACAAGGCCACTGGTATCTACAAAGTGTACTGTTGAGGATATTTCTCAGTGCCTGTCCAATTTCCTCAGATTTCCCCAGCTTTGAATTTATTTGCACAAACCACAGCAGCACAGTTTTCTGCCACTAACCTCAATGAGTCTTTATTTGACTGTTTTACTACCATCTCCACAAACATTCGACTGCACGGCACATAACTGCTGTGTTCCTGTCATCATTCCATTGCTGTGATGAATCAGCAAACCACAAGTGTCAATGTCTTGGTTACTGAGTTCACTAACAAGTATTTCAACACAAGAAGCTCAATAACAACAATAAAAGGGCTTTAATTGCTTAATATGGAGCAAGGTTAAACTACTCCAAAACAGGAAATTCAACCCTTTCAGTAAACAGCATCACTGTGAGTGATGATGAAGATACCATTCATTACTCAATCCTTCATTAACAAGAAGTAACCATCTCCTAAGGATGAAGATATGAACAACTGTCTTCCAGTTTTCTAACTACTACCTCTTGAAATAATAAAGACCACAGCTTAAGATCATGGTGTTTCATGTTGGGATTAGTATCTATTTTGTGAAGTAACTCCTCCACTAGAGTATGAAATCTGTAAATTTCAAAAATTATAGAGTACAAATAAAAAAATTTCAATCACCTTCTACCAATGAACTTTTGTGCAGTCCTGGAAAAATAAAAGTCCTTGGGGGGGGGGGGGGGTGCTTGAAACTAAAGCACTCAAGAAAAAAATTAAGACTCTTAAATTTCAATTTAATTCTCAAAAGGTGACCAAAAAAAGTGAAACATTTAATTTTAACCTTCCAAGAGAAATCTTAAAAATAAAAATGGTAAAAACAAAGCCAACAGTATTGCATAGCAGACAAGGCTGAGAATTTCACTGTCCAATGACCATGAAGTCTATCTCTTAATACTTCATATTTCTATGGTTAGAAGTAGGGGTAAAGTATATCCAACACCTAATGGTTCTATCTAGTTAAGGTTGATATGTTTAAATACCAAAGGCAGTCGAGGTTTCGGCTTACAGCAATCACATTTATCAATCATTTTGGAAACGACAGCTTATTTAAATGGTCCTGATAAAATTAAGCCTATCGTGACTGTGAAACATTATAATCGAGCCAGAAACCTGTAACAGACCTTCTGAAAGGTAAGAATCAATCTGCCTGTGCTTTAAGTTCAAGTGCTTTTTCAAGGACAATTTAGAAGTTATTAATAAACAATAGTATCAGGACCTCAAACAAAAAGGATAAAATTCCTCAACATTTATCTGAACAATGACTGGGAGCCTGGTGGCTTTGTGGCTTTACTCAGACAGCCTGAGTTCTGAACAGTTCCGCTCAGGTGGCACAGAGGACGGTGAGAAGCTGCTGTGGTTTTAGTCTGCTGTCTGTGAGGAAGTCCTTCCCATGGCTCAGGGCTCACTGATGCAGTGTACGCACCCCACACAAATCAGGGATTCTGTTAACTGCTCTGCCTAGGAAGGCAGGGAGGCCTTGACTCCCAGCTAACTGTCAGGGCAGGCTGTGCTAGCTTCTCCTTTCCATGTGTTAGCATTCCAGAATCAGCTGAGGAAATCCTCTATGTAAGAAAAGGAAGCCGCTCCTTTTACCTCACTTCCTTAGAGATAATGTTTCTTTTTTACAGTTGCTATACAATGCACATTATGAAATGGATCCAGGCACATGTTTATAACATATAACCTGTAAAATCACATATTTCTAAATTTCCCTTTCTCTTAGATGCATTTTAGTACTAAAAACACCAAGAACTACCTTAAATAAAAAGCAGCATTATCCTCAAAAGATTATTTTTTTATTTTAATTTGGTCTTTAAGATTTTATAAAGGGGAAAAAAACGAAAATGGCCCTAAGTTTCTGGTGCCTGATTATTTACTAACCAAACCCCAAAGACCTGAAAACTGAATCTGCACCCAGACCTAAAGGTCACGCCCGCATGTCTCAACTGCGCTCTTACCACACTGCACTCAGACGTGGCACTAACATTCAGAAGAAGGACGGGATCCTTCAGATCATAGCAGAGGGGAGACAATGCAGATGCCTGAATAGCATACAATGCTTGCTGACTGTAGTGGAAACCGGAAGTGTTTCCTAAGCATTTGAACACTTCATTCATTCGCTCACTCATTCATTCATTCGCTCACTCATTTACCCATAAACAAATTGCACTGAATGCCAGCTGTAAGTAGAGTATGTACAGAGTAAGCAGTAAATGGAGTCAGTTCCTTCCCACTGTGCTCAGTCTACAAATCAAGTCTTGGTGGTCTGTATCAAATTTAAGCTATTCCACATGGACTTAAGACACCCACACACACCATATATAAACACATAAGAACATTCTCAAAGGTATAAGTACCAAGTACTGTGAACACAAACAGAATGGCTTCCCAATGTCTTGAGGTTTAAGGACATCTTTCATGTTCTGTGACATAAAAGCTTTAGGAGAACACTGCACAAGAGATAACCCTCTGCTCCATGAGCTCTTCTAATGCTGGAGGGAAGACGCCTGGTAATCAGGCAAAGTGTTTAACACCACCAATGCCCAGGAACTGAGATGATTTCTTCCTACAATTCCTGATAACCAAGACTCACTTCTTCAGAATGCAGCTTTTATCGTGCTAAGAATAATTATAACAGGTTACACAAAACATATAGCAAATTCCAAATATGGAAATGGATTGAAAAGCAAGTCCTTTTCCAGCTAAGCAGTAATAATGGGCCCTGCATTACTCCTTCATAAATAAAAGCAGATTACCAGAAAGTCATCCATTTTAAGATACTCCAAAAAAAAAAAAAAAACATGAACTAAAACCTGAAAAGTGACTTGCAAAATTGACATGGTGGGCTGGTCCTCCATGCTCAGGAAGGGAGTGATCTGCAGTGCTTCAGAACACAGTAAAAATGCACTTGCTGATAAGACCAACAGAAGATCCAAAAACAAAAGTATGCTAACTTTTCCTAAATGTTACAATCAATGATGTAACTTATATAAGTAGGGTTACTCTGTCACATATTGATAGTTACCTCACTTTCACATCCACATTAACTTGATTTTAAATGCAATTAATATATATAGTCAAGGAAGACTAATGGACTACATTCTGCACTTAACCTGGTAGACATTTTCAAATGGCACAAGTGACCAGTGCAAACCTATTTTGCATTGTAAACGACTAAATAAATCTTAATGGATTAAGAATGATCAGCTATCAACACACAAGGGAAATTAAGTGCTGAAATGCCTACATTGATTATTTTAAATTATTAGCCTTACTCTGTTCTTGAATTTGTATGCTTTTAGTGAGCTTTAACACATTTACAAGACTTATTGACTATAATTACAAGAGAATTCAAGTAATGGACACATCAATTATAAGCAACATGTCTTGACCAGACAGTTGCATAAAGAATTCTAAAAAGAGCTCCATTAGCATCTTCCTCTTAGTTTTATTCAGCTTTATCTGACTTAGGAAGAGGGCATATTAAGAAAACACATTTTTTCCATGCTGAAGAACAGCTTGGTATCTAATATCACGTCATTTCAGACTGTGAGAAGCAACACCAGAGGTACCAAGAATGCAAACAAATAAGCACTTGAATGTCCTACAGAAATGTCTACCGCATATTGCTACTGGAGAGCAGATCCACACAGGGACTGTGGTGTTTATAGTTCCTGAACTAATCTGTTACTTTCTTTAAGGGAAATGTTTCATCTATCTTTAATCAACCTCAGCTACTGATAATGCTCTATATCTTTCTCCGTGTAACCATGCACTAAGTTTTAAAAACTGCAGGAATTTAAAGTATAGATTTAATAATATGCCATTATTTAAAAGTACAGTAAAACAAACCTTACAGTTTTAATGAAAATATGCTCATTGAAATGTGAATTTATTATTCAAATCCACTCATAAATTCAACCATGTAGACAGAACTTGTCTAAGCTGAGCACAATGATTTAGAAAAGCTGTCTATTGAAAATAAAGAATGTATGGCAGGTTTATAGAAACACTGCAGTCAATTTCTACATAAATTTACAACAGTGGCTTATGCATTTTTCACCAAATATATATATTTTTAAAAATCTCTCCCCAAACTAAACATTAACATGGACTGTTCAATGTGTCGGGAATATACACCCTAAATCAGATACTACCTCAATGAAAACCACATTTTAATACATATTTAGGAAACTATACTCACAATTCTGGTCCTTGAGAGTAGACTCTTACTTCTGGGAGTCACACTTGCAGATACAAACTATCTGTTGATGAATATTTTTAAATTTCTAATATCTTAAGAATTTTATTAAGGGGAGGGAGCGATGGTTCAGCAGTTAAGATCACTGGCTTCCCTTCTACAGGTTAGATTCCCAGGGGATCCAATGCCCTCTTCTGGCTTCCATGGGTATTGCAGGCATGCGGTACACAGACATACACACATACACACAAACACACACAAAAATTTTGAGGATGTAGTGGCACACACCTTTATGGAAGAGGAGGAGAAGGATTAGAGGAGCCAGGGGGGAGTTAAGGACACCACAAGAAAATGACCCACAAATTAATTAACCTGGGCTCACAGAGACTTAACTGACAAGCAGGGAGCTTGCCTGGGACTGACCTAAATCCTCTGAAAATGTTATGGATGTGTAACTTAGTCTTTTTGTGGGACTCCTAACAGTTGGGGAGGGGGGTCTGTCTCTGACTCTTTTGCTTGCCTTTGGGACTTCTCCCACTGGTTTGCTTTATGTAGCTTTAATACTAGAGGAGACACCTAATCTTATTGCAACTTAATATGCCATGTTTGACTGATATCCTGGGAAGCCTGCCCTTTTCTGAAGGCAAAGGAGTGGATCTAGGAAGAGAAGAGGTAGGGGTGAGGAAAATGAGAGGGAAGGAGGGAGGAGGAACTGCAGTCAGGATGGAATATATGAGAGAAGAAGAATTAAAGAAGAAAAATGGGAGGGTGTGGTGGCACAACTCTTTAATACCAACACTTGGAAAGCAGAAGCACGTGGATCTATGTGAGGTGAAAAAACGACCTAGGCTACATAGTGAGTTTCAGGGCAGCCAAGGCTACACAGTGAGGCTAAAGCTATTTAGTATGCCCTCCAAAACCACAAAGTATCATTCCCTGTACATTTGGAAAACCAAATAATTAGGACATAATAAAAAGCAGAAAAAAATAGGAGTTTTACAAAAGTTTCAAATGATGTGTTTGACAAAAGTAAAAGAAATTTGTCCACTCCTCTGCCTTTAGAATCTCTAAGGCTAAATTGCGTCTAGAAATGGTAAATGCTGACACTTCTTAGACACAAGCAGAGCATCACATAAACATGAAATACGAATTAGGTAGAAGGCCCACAAGCAAATTCAAATGGGGCTCCATACTTGGTTGTGATACGAAGTCCAAACTTCATCAATCTTTTGCACTTTGTAGAAAAACACAGGCTTGCTACAAGGGTTACATACCTGTATGAGTCCGAATGTGAGCCAGGAAGGCCATGGAATTGCTACTCCGACACATCTTCCCACAGTACTTGCAGATATTTCCCTGGTTTTCTTCTCTCTCTCGATTGATTTGCTCGGTGTCTTCCACTATGTACTTATTCACCTCTCGTAGCAATTCCTCGTGTTGTCCTTTAATATGCAGAAATAAATTCTGTTCTGAATCAAAGGGCTCTGTACACTTGACACATTTGAAGGTGGCCCCTCCCTCTGGCAGCTCTTCTACACTGGCTTGTTCATTTCTCATATGACCAGCACTAGCCAAATGCTGATGAAGGTTGCTCTCAGTGTAGAATGATTTTCCACAAAGTAAACAATGAAAGTGTTTCTCTTTTGTAGGATGCTTCATGGCTATGTGAACATTCAGCCCACTCAGTCCATCTGCTAAGAAACCACAATCATCACATCGGATTCGTGTGGACTCGCCGAAGGAACTGCCTTCAACTTTCCTCCTTTTCAAGCCTTGAGCGCCATCCTTTAGGGGTAATTCACTAACTCTCGCCCCTGTTGCCATTAGACCTTCTTCCGATTGATCTACTAATTCACCATCCTCAGAAGTTTTTATTCTAATTATGGAAGAATCAAACCGGCCAAAACTGTACATGGTTTGCCCTTTATCGTCAACACTTATTATAGTTTCATAAACATCATTACTGTCAACTGTGTCATCAGAAGCTGGGCCATCCTCTTCCAAAACAATTTCAGTTCCATGTTGCGAATTCATCAGAATTTCCTTCTTCTCGACAACAGATGCATTCACATCTTTCAAATTTTCAGAACTCTGTTCACATCCAACTTTGTTCTGACCACCACCATCCAGGTGCTCTCTTGATATTTTCAGCACAACAGGGGAAGTAGATTCAGCTGAATGGCCCCCACCTAAGTCTCCAGAATAGAGGGACTTGTCAAGAACTTTACCTCTACTATCATCAGCGCTGCCTCCCTCATCTTCACAGTATGTACTTGGGTCACCAACGTCATTCAACATGCCCTGGTTTTTCTTTGCTGTCTCACATTCCACAGCAGAGCTTCCTGGATTATCACTCTGGAGACAGCCTGGGAAGCCATGATCAGAGGAAGTACTAAGGGACACTATCTCTCCGGGTTTCATACTTTTGTCCTTAGCAAGGGGCTGTTGCAAGGTCTCACAAAAGGAATGATCTTCCTCAGTCACAATCTCCACTGAGTCAGCAGCACAGAGTACTTTAGACATATCTAAATTAGTATTCTCATCTAAAGCAGAACAGTCTGCAGCATTTCCAGATTTGAGAGTACGGCATGACTGGTCTGGTGGTATTTTAAATTCCTCGGGGTTTTGTGAATGCTCCTCTTCACTTATAAGGATGCTTTTGGACATTTCTGAAGAACCTGCTTCCACACTGGAAGAGTTGAGGTAAGACTGTCTTTTCATTTTATGCTTCTCTGTTGCAGCATGCCTCGTCATTTCTCTGCGAGTCACTGCATAATAATCACAGGCCATGCAATAGAACTCAAACTCTTTGGTGTGCTTCCTTTTCACGTGCAGCTCTAGTGACGCAGCAGAGTGAGCACTGAACTCACAGTGTACACATTTATTGTCACTTGAACCTGCAACATCTCTCTGAGAGCATGCATCATTCTGCTGTAGAAGGTCCTCTGTCTCTAGAGATATCTGTCCCCTTTTATCAGAAAGTCGACTGCTAACTTCTCCATCTACAGAATGAAATACACTTTCAGCTTCAACTTCTACTGCATTCGCACAATCAACCACTGGCTTATCTAAAGTAGATGTATCTGACTCAGTGGACTTGTGAGCCTGTTCGTCGGACACAGTCACTGCTAGAGGGGCATTCTTTTTACACGCTTCAAGATTACTCCCTTCTGGGCCAACAATTATATCTGAACTCTGTTTCCCATTTGCTTCTATTTCTACCCGTCCTTTATGTTTCTTGGTGGCGCAATGACGTTCCATATCTCCTTTAGTTACAGTATAATACTTACATACTTTGCATAAATAACTATACTGGTGGCTGTGTTTACGCCTGATGTGCACAGTCAAATTTGTAATACTAGAGGCCAAAAGTCCACAGTGTGAACAAGTCCGTGAAATGCTGCCTTTGGGTCTCCCTCTCTTTGGAGTAGTGCCTAAGGCTAATTCATCATCTTTGGTGATGACACCAGACTGTGGCAGTTCCTTAGGAGTTAGCAAGCTCTGATCACGACAGGAATGCTCCTGTAATCGCACACCGACATGGCCTTCGGGCCTTCCACTTCCGGAAATGATAGACTCCTCTTTTTTATCATTTGCACCTATGCATACCCTTTCAATGCACTCTTCAAAACTTAAACCAATATTATTTTTCTTAGCATTTTCAAGATGTTTGCTTCTTTTAATGTGCTTCTCCATTCCTTCCTTGCTCAGTGAATACAGATTACATGCTTTACAAAGGAAGTGGTAGTCTTGGCCATGCCGAAGCTTTATGTGTCTTGTAAGGACAGTGGAAGACCTTGTTTTATAAAAGCACTTCTTACACTGAAATTGAGGCTTACTTGAATGCCTTGCTTCAGTTCCATGGCTTACCCTCAACTCAGCGGGATCCACCTTAGCTGCTTTCCCTGACTCTTCTCTAGAATCTTCCATGTTTTCTGATTCTAAAGTACTTAAAGGTGAAACAGAAGCCGTCTTTGGTTGAACCACTAAGTTATTATGCATCTCAGTTGCTCTGTGTTCTTCCACATCTTTCTCAGACAAGAACATATTACAAGAGGTGCAAAAAAAGCCCATGCTATGCTTTTCCTTCATATGCTCTCTAAGATTCATTTCATTCAAGGAAATGAAGGAACAACACTGACAGCTGAGGACAGGAGTCATGTTCTGATGCTGATTACTGTGCAAGTGTTTCTCTAAGTCTTTCCTTGATGGACTAGAAAAGTTACAAGTCTGACAGTGAAACTGCATCTCTCTTGCATGGCACCCTTTATCATGAGTTTCCAAGTCTGTCTTTTCTGCGGCTATATGACCACACTCTGGAGAGGTACACAGGACCTGGCGGTCAGAAGCTGGCTTGACTGGCAGGGAGCCAAGCTGTGTGGAGCCTGAAAAACAGGAAGCTGTCTTGTCCTGCATCACTTCTGGGTCATCTGAGGTAGTCACACACAGACTCTGGACATCCTTGCTCATTTGTATTTGTTCCAACAGTGGCTGTGCGTCATTTGTTTTTATCTGTGTTCTAAAGTGTTTCATATACATCCTCTGAGTTTCACTTGCACTCCTTTTATTAATTCCTAGAAGATTATACCTTTTCTTTGCCTGGCCCTTTAAAGTAAAAGTGCCACTTCGTCGGCGAAAGCTGTTACCCAACATTAGGATATTTCGCTCAGATCTTGGCCTCGAGGTGGTGCTGATACTAATATGAGCTATCTGGAGGGTATTTTTGATGGATTCCGACTTACCTAAAAGACCCTCTGAGCTTACTAAGCCCCCTAGCTGTTTATTCTGATTTTCAGGATTTTGAACTACACCAAAAGTAGCATTTTCCTCAACAATTTCTCCTTTCCCTGATGAGGTATTCCTAGATGGCACCATTTGGACAAGCAGCTCACTCCTCCCACCACTATGTTCAGAAGGGGCTCCTCTGCAGGCTTTAAATTTGTTCCCAGTACTCTGCACGCCTTTTGAATCCCCATTCCTTGCTATTGGTTTAGAAGCTCTTGGTTTTGTTCTAACATTCTTTGTTCCCATGACACAGGCTTTTTTAGGAAAAGGTTGTTTTGTTAAGATTTGTACAAATCCTCCACGAGCAGCAAGATTCTGACGCCGAAGATGTGTTTTGCCAAGATAATGTGCATTCAAGAGGTTTTCTTCAGCACACTGAAAGCCACAGAGATCACAGGAGAAGATTTTCTGTGGCCCATGGGTATGTTTGACATGCACGGGAGGAGAAGACGAGCTGCTCTCTACTCTGTGGCTACAGTGGCAGCAGGAGCATTCCTTGTCTTGCTCCATGTGACATTCCACGTGGTTCTCCAAAGCAGAGCAAGAGGAAAAAGAATGGCCACACATGCTGCACTTGAGAACAGTCTCTGCATTTCCAAAACTACAACTAACGCTCATTTCTTCTGGAGGAAAAGGAGTGTGTCTTTCAGGAGCAAGGGAAACCATTTCCTGAGCAGGCTTTCTCACTGCATCTGCTTTCAAAGGAAGCGTATCAAACGTGCTAAAATCACAGGATGGGGAGAAGTCACTGGGAAGGGCTCTGCCTCCATCTGAGCTGATGGTGGAAAAGGCCTCCTTCTCTGCTTCAGCTGAATGGACACTAGCTTCCCCAGTGTCCAACATACAGGTGCCCTGCTCTTCCGTCTCGAGGGGCACCACCGCCTCTATTCTCATCCGTTTGGAAGCAAGTTCACTTCTGTCTTCCTCCACAGCAACACTGTCCAAGCTGGATGATTCTGACAAACGCCTTTTATTTGTACAATTCTCAGAGGCATTTGCTATGCCATCAGATTTGCTATGCCCACAACTGGCATCATGGGATGAAACGCTTTTCATGTCTCTTGCTTCCTCATCCTCGTCATTTTCATGTTTATTATCAGAATCCATTCTTAATAAAGTTCTGGTGATGCTTCTTCTGTCAAAGTTGAATTTAACTAGAACTTATAATCTGTGAAATAAACAAACATGGCATTAAAGCTTTGAACATAAGAAAGTGCAAACTTCTTAGTCTGAACCTAAGGAAGAAAAACATGATGAAATTAACACCAATGAAGTTTCCTCCAAACTTGACCAAACCTGACTACATGTATAAAGAAAGTTCTTTTTGGAAAATAGGCAATCTTCCTGAGTGTGGTGGTTCATACCTGTAATCCTAACAATCCTGAGGCTGGTTCAGGATGATTACCTTATGATCAAGGTCAATCGCTGTTACACAGTGATTACCAGGCCAAGCCAGACTACACAGTAAGATTCCCATCTTTAAAAAAAGCATGCAATCAAATCTGTGGACTACTGTTGACTCTCAAAACAATACTACACATCTTCATTGTCAGAAAAGGGATACTCTCTATCAGCTTCCAAAACTCCTCAAGCTTTAAGTCTGTGAAACAGATTTCAGATGACTTCTTTTAAAACAGAGAAGCCTTTCTTTCAGATTCTATTGTGGTGGACTCCCATTCTATAAAACAGATGCAAACCAAGCCTGTGACGTCTGCAGGACTTGCCTTTCCTGTGCTGTCTCTAACAGGCACTAAATGTTGGTATAAAAGTAACTGCTTTGTCCTTGCCCCTAAAGTAAAGGCTTCACCATGACTGTTCTCAGTGGATCTCAACTAACACCATATAGTCTCATCACAGATCACCATAACTTTGGCTACTGAAAAGCCACTCCTCTCGCAGGTGTCAATCAATTTCCTTATCCCACTGTCATTTCTGTGTTGTCTGAAGGCAACACAACCATTGGCAAAAGGAAATATCAGTGGTACAAAATTAATGGAGTAAGCTTTTTGGAGGGAGGGAATTACCCTGAAACAATGCCTTAAAAGTCAGTATTATTGATTTTATTTCTTGTTGTAATCAATAATTAAATTAACACATATCATTTTCCATTTATTTTATACTATGATTAAAATTTTAGACAAATGTGATTTTATTTGGTTAATAAAGATCATTAATAAATAATGGCATTTTAAACTATTTACCTACTTTTTCCACAAATGAAAAATAAAAAAAATTATGCCTGTTACTTAAAAGTGGAGAACAAAAAAATGTAAGGCATGGAATCAATAAATAAATGACAGAAGAAAAAAATCAGACTTTTATCAAAATTAAAACTTCCAAGGTCACCAATTAGAAAGTGAAAAAAAAGAACCCTTTGAACAGGACTTTGATTGTTTTGTATTTTTTTAATTACATATCTGATAAGGCATTTGTTCCTAGACTATCCAAAGAACTATTACAATAATTTCAAAATGAAGAAATAATCTGATTACAAATTTCCCCATGGGAAATACAAAACAGCCAACCACACATGAAACAAAAAATAAATAAAAATAAAAACACATACATCATTAGTCATTAGTGAAATGTAGTCAGGGTTACAACAGGATCGTGCTTTCTAGTTACTAGAATAAGCGCAATTGAATAGTCAGATCACAACAGAGCTCAGTCAAATGAGCCTACAAGCACAGCACCAGGGAGATCAAGGCAGGACAGCCACTTGAGTCACATTCCAGAGATGGTCAAGACTAGGCTAAGTGGCACTGCAAGACTTTGCCAAGAAAAGAAAGAAAGGGCCAGGCGGTGGTGGTGGTGCACACCTTTAATCCCAGCACTCAGGAGGCAGAGGCAGGCGGATCTCTGTGAGTTCGAGGCCAGGCTGGACCGACAGCCTCCAAAACAATACAGAGAAACCCTGTCTCGTAAAACCAAAAAAAAAAAAAAAAAAAAAAAAAAAATTAAAGAAAAGAAAGAAAAAGAGAAAGAGGTGGGGGAGGATAAGTGGGGAAGGAGAAAGGGGGAAGAAGAAAGGGAAAGAGGAAAAGGTGGAATCACAGCAATTATTTGTGAAGATATGAAGCTACCAGAACCTTCCTGCACAACTAATGCAAGCTGAAGAAAAAGCAGCTCAGGTATCCAGGATACCTCCCAGTTACCATTATCAAGATACAAGCTCCAGGGTTCAGCAATTAAAAGCACTTGGCCCCAAGTCTGAGTGCCTAGGAAGCCACATGGTAGGAAACAGCCTGCAAAGTTGTCCCTCTGACCTCTAGAGGCATGTGCACACACAAAAATGCTGTTCAAAATCGGGGGACAGCCAGGCAGTGGTGGTGCATGCCTTTAATCCCAACACTAGAGAGGCAGAGGCAGGAGGATCTCTGTGAGTTCAAGGCCAGCCTGGTCTACAGAGTGAATTCCAGGACAGCCTTCAAAGCTACAGAGAAACCCTGTTCCAAAAAAAAAAAAAAAAGAAAGAAAGAAAGAAAGGAAGGAAGGAAGGAAGGAAGGAAGGAAGGAAGGAAGGAAGGAAGAAAGGAAGAAAGGAAGAAAGAAAGAAAGACAATTGGGGGATGAGAGAAGACAGAGCTCTGGAGGTGGGTATAAAGTTTAGTGGTAGAGGCACATGCAAAAGGCACTAGACTCATCCCTGGTGCTATCAAAAGAAATGTATATAAGAACAGAGCTCTCCTTCTAAATGTTCTCCAAAGGCATCTCCTGCATGCCTCTTTGCAATCCATTCCCAGAAGCACAACCCTCACTCCTCACCACACCACCCCACATCCCCAACCACAATTTAGAATTCTTCCACAGTAGATAGGTAAGTCTGTTCTAGAAGTTCCTATAAGTGGACTCATATACCAAGGATTGTCGGGGACCGGGGGGGGGGGGGGGTCCTGGCTGCATTTTGCTCAGCAAGGTGTTTTTGGTTGCAACTGTCAGTACAATGGCCCACTGCATTGGTGAGTGTGCTAAACTACATGGAAACAACAGAACTCTGCTGGTAGACATCTGAGCTATTTCTTTTTTTTTTTTTTTTTACTATTATGGTAAAAATGCTTGAGTATTCTTGTACATGTCTTTTCACAAATAATGTTTTTCATTTCTTTTAAATAAATACCTAGGGCAGATCTATCTTTGTGAAAAACTGCTTGACTGATTTTCAAGGTAAATGTACTATTCTAAACTGCCACCTGACATGTGGGAGACCCCCACCAAGAGTCATGTTAGTGGACATGTACTGTTTTAATCTGCATTCCCCTGATGACAGTGAAGGCTTGTGTGCATTGTTAGCCTTCTCCTCATTTCCTAACTTGGTTCTTTTTCCTTATTGACTTGTAGAACATGCACATGGATTCTGAAATTGAAATCCTCTGTCAGATATGTTTTATAATACTTTTTTCTTTTTCATTTTTATTAATGATGTTTTGTATAAAAACCTTTGAACTTTAATGAAACCAATGCCTTTCCTGTTCCTGTTCTGATTGTTTATGTGTGTGATTATCACCTGTTTCTCTGTGCTCAAATATAAACCATGGTTTATTTTATCCATCCATATATCCAAAGGGCCTACAACATTGCCAGTCTCTAACACAGTACTAAAATAAATGAATATTGCCTTGGCATAGTGACACACCCCTTTAATCCCAGTGCTTGAAAGACGGAGGCAGGAAGAGGTAGTGTTGCTGTTGGTTTTAGTTAGTTGTGTTTATTGTTTTGAATTTGGTTTGGATGCTGGTGCCTTGCTGAAAAAGGAGATAGGAAGAGACCTCAAGAGGAAACGGGGCTGGGGAAATGATAGGAGCAGGAAGCAGAGCTCTGGACAAGACAGCTTTCCTCCACATGGTGAGTATAAAACAGGAGCTCATCAAGCCATCCCAGCCATCTCTGAAGACATTAATGTAAAGATCAGCAATGGAGCCAGTGGATGTCGAGAGGCAGGAAGAGCTCGCTGCAGTCATTGAAGTTATAAAGTCTAGAATGAAAACAGAGAGTGAGCAGGAGTACAGAGTAGTTTTAATAAGTACTTTAAAGTGATGTAAAAGGGATTAAACGGAAATGAGAGTTTATGCTAATATAGGCTTTAAAAATTCATTATAAAGGTTATTAGAACAAGTATCATATTCCCAGTAGAGATGAGAACAAGATCATCTTCTTTCTTCTTGAAAGATTCAAATATCACCTGAATACAACAGTTAAGGGGCTCATTTTTCTGAGACAGATTCTATTCATTCACACAACAAACACTAGAAGCTTAGCATGTATCTGGAGCACTCTGATCTCTCACAACAAAGTAAAATAGGGCATAATCTCCTTGCTGACAGATTACCATTTGTAAAACAGTAAAAAATAAAATAAAGTGAATCTCAGTATTCTTCCCTCACCAGAGCTTCAAAACTGAAAAACCTAAAAGGTATGTGGACTAAGGCAGTGGCACCGGGCCCAGAGAGATGGCTTAGTGAATGCCTGCTGCCAGGTCAGCCTTGCTGACCTAGGCTCAATCCCTGGAACCCACATGGTGAAAGGAGGAAACCAAGTCCCACAACTGTCCTCTCATCTCCACACATGCACCACAGCATGCATATGACCAACACAAATAAAACAAATAACAAAATGCCATTAAAAAATCCAGCAGCATGTATTACTAAACCTTCCTCAAGCATTATGCTTCCTAGACCAAGTCATCAATCACTATCCACAAACAGCCTCACTGAGTCCCAAAGATTTCCAAGCACACAATTAAAGCATCTACACTGTGGGAGTGTGACTTAGTGGGAGAACACTTGCCTCGCATGTGCAAGATTCTGATCCCAACTACACACAGACACACACACACACACACACACACACACACACACACACACACACACACAAAGTTTAAGCAGTTGTTCCTAGCTGTGAAAATAAGTTACATATCACTTTTTTGATTATTTTCATTTTACCTGTAAGTACTAATAAAGTTAATTTCATATAAAAACTGTTAAAAGTTAAAGTCTCTAAGATATTTCCCATGCTTTAAAGAAAAAAAAAAATACTGAAGAAAAGAAGCATACTTTTTGAGAACAAGATTAAATACCTCAATAGCAGCCTTCTGATGACACCTGGTGGCCACTTCTCCCAGAAGACTCTAACAGTGATTTGGAGGAAGCATTTCAGGAGGCTGGCTTTCAA